CATGACCTAAACTCAGGTTCCCATCAAGTTTCGATTCACTCCGAAAGACGGAGTTAATTAGAATAATCGGTTGCATTCTTTATTAAGTAACTGTATATGTTTGGAGGTATTCAACGATTTAACTTGTGTTTTAGACCGCAATCGTTAGTTGCACGAAAGCACATTTTCATGGTCTTTTTAACTACATATTTTCAGGGTAAACATATAAATATACATTCTTTTCGGCACGAAAATCCATAATGCCAAACAATATTATTGTTCAACATCTCATGAGCTCCTCGTTTTCCAATTTCCACTTTTGATATTTTAAAAATAGAAATTATAAATTAGGTCAGCGCATCGTGTTGGTTCCGAGAAGCAAGCGCTCACCTTCCCTCAATAGCGGGGCAAAGAATGAAGTTTGTAGCCTAGTTATGATACATAACAATATTTTACAAGTCACGGATCACAAGCAGTTATAAACCTTCATCTTGTTATAGTTGTTGCCAGCTACGAGTTATGGAAACAAGCAAAAAATAACAAAACCATGAGAACAAATGAAGACAAAAGGTTCCTATGCCCACTAAACTTGAAAAAGCCCTTGGCATGCGATGAAAAACTATAAGCTTTTTAAATTACTATACGACGATTCGAAGAAACAGAAACTAGAACATGGATCAGAACTTATTAAAATTTAAAACATGTAAACAGTGATTCAACGAAATCGTATTAAACTAGCTCTGGAAGTAACGACGACGGTACTAAAACGCATTAAACTGCATTAAAATCAAAATAAGACTGGTGAAAAACTAGGCAAACTAGAAGTAATAGCGCACTGTCAAGAACCAGCTACCTTATTACTAAATTAATACAACGTAAATATGAAATCGCATATTTTGTGTTCAAGCATATATACATATTTTGTGCAAGCAAGCAGTACATGTCAATTCGCACGGCAACACATTAAGATATTTTACGCAATTGAATACAGTAGCGCTTAATGTAAACTTTAACAAATACCGCATGGTATTTAAGGGGTGCAGAGGTGCAGGAGAGTGTCTGCGACGAGCCTTTCAACTGGGTGACTTTCAAAATGCCTCTGTCACGAAAGAGAGCTTTATACGAAATTTTTCCAATTTATTATTTTTTTTTTGCATATTATATTTTTCTAAAATTTTTCGTTATATATGTGAGTCCGTTATCCGAGTCAAATAAATAGCACTTCTAACGCACCTACGTGTGCCACTACTCTTAGAATTAAAAATCATGCCACAATTGATTGCTTTCCGTAGTTTTGAAATGCGAAGAAATAAAGAGGAGAGAAGAAATAAAGAGGGGTTCTCATTGAAGAAAAATCGGATAAAAATTTTTTTGGAAATGAATTCGTCATTTTGTGGTATACTTTTTCGCCTGTTGATTTTCCTATCAAAATTGCAAGGTTCGGAAGGATATTTGCATTTCACAATATGGGAAGGATCGATGTTGTAGATCACGTTTTGCTTGTCGTTCGGAATCGTGCTTGCGCCAGCCACGTGTTTCTCACTGCAATTAACCCTTTTCAGCCCCAATTATTTTTTTTCTTGAAATTTCATTTTTTATCAAATTTTTGGTGTTGGCTCTACCTAAGTGATTAGGAAAACGTCTCAGTTTTCTTTTCTCTACAATAGTATTGCTAGAATACGATGTGCCATATATGTACCACTGAGCATATCCAAGTACATTTTTTTTGTTGAAAGAAAAAACAACCGTGTCTGAAATGCACTTATATATTTGTAAATTGACATGTTATATTACAGTTTTAGGATATTGCAAATTTAAAATTAACAATAAAACATAACGTCTTCAATATTTTTTTGCAATATTATTCCAAATACTGTAGAATGGCGAAACTAAAACAAATATTTGATCCATCGTGTGAACTACAAATTTTCTAATTAGCGTTACATTGTGTTCAAACTCATTATTTCAAGTATCAAATTGTGTTCAAATACATAATACTTCAAGTTGGACTTACATGTAAAAGGTAAAAAGCGAGATATTGATCAGAATGTAATTACTCAGAACATATCATTATTTGGTATGGAATGGAAGATTACATGCCAAGCAGAGACCTGCATTACATTTGCAACACTGAACGAAAGGTCTTATCTTACATTCTTCACCAGCACATACTTCTTACATCCTTCTTTTGTTGTCTTGTGTTTCTACAAAATAATGTTTTATTCCATCAAAACGAATATCATCTAACACTCGTTTGTCACCCTTTGTTTAGTAGGATGGCGGCCTCCCAGCTCCTTTCAAAACTTCTTCTTCTCATAGCCTGAGAGATGCAGCTTCATTTCTTGTCACAGATGAATTTCTCCAAAACATCCTCCGAGAAGATAAAGGAATGATACCAGACACTGTCAAAATTCCAAGGAACAATTTCATTTCATCTTTGCTTACCAAGAAATCTGTTTCACCTTTGAAAGTTGCATAGACAATTGTCTGATGATCTGATCCACTAGCAAATTCCACACATCATCATCAAAAAATAGTTCAAAAAGTTCAACTGGAGTAAAATCTCTAAATTGTGCATAATTTGCCTTAGAAAATATGCGTTCACCAGGTGTGAGTGAAGTGCCACGACTACATTTTGGAGTCTTATAGTTATTGATAGGCGAAGAATTATGAGCCTCATCATCATCTTCAATAGTACTACGTTAGTCGTGGGAGAAAACTTCATCATTGCCACTCAGTTGATCTTCACAATCATCTTCAGCCGTACGTCGTCCGTCATTGAATACAGCTTCAGCATTACTAGTCAGTTGTCTGCCGGACAAATTATCTATCAATCCACTATCACTATCCACTGCATCAGCAGAGTCTTCATCAGTCAATAGGCCGGGATCATTAGGCTCAATATAAACGTCTGCTTGGCTCTCATCTTCTTCTAATATACCTAATATCTCATGCATAGTCAGGAATCTAAAATATGAAACATAAAATGGATTTATAACATGCTAGAATTTTGATATTCGTAAATATGCATACTCAGAAAAAATGTACCTGCATTAGCTCAGCGAACCATATATGGCACAGCAAATATAAAATGATATCCAGAAAAAATAATGCATTAGACAAATGTAAAAGTTAACTGCAGAGGTCAGTTTATTACTTGTTCAACATATGCAGTTACCAAAAGAACCTGGTTCTCAAAGAAATGTGCAAAATATACTTATTTTCCCCTGGAAGCCATTACTTTTGGCAGAGCACAGCGACACTTATTTTCAACATGACAGCAGAGCACAAACTGGCAGGCTTAAGGGGTTGTACTCATACGAACATGTTGTAGCAGGTTTGGTGTGCATTTCCAGTACACTTGTTCAGGCTTGTCTCAACCATGAGCGATGTATGATGCAATATTACATCATGCTGTTTAATGTACCATATATGTACCACTGAGCTGAAAAGGGTTAATTTTATTTTCTCTCCGTTTACCTGACGAAAATACACGTTTCAAAATAATGACCTGGTGCTAGATTATGTTGGAATGGAATATTCCAGACTTTTACTAGGGAGAATCGCAAACCTTGTGTTAATCTGAGCATAAATTTTGCTGAATTGCGAAGTTTGTTACAGTTCAGGATAATTTTCATTCAGAAAAATGATGGCGGGCAGGTTTAAGCTTATTGAATATGTATTTCGCAGTTTTTGAACGCTCACGAACGAGTTCCTCAATGGCAAATGGATTTGAGCCTCTAATCTTCATTTAGAATCATTTGATTACGATAATGATATTGCTCGCTCATATGACAATATCCCTTATTCAGATCTTCAAATGTTATTTTCAATAATTTGTAAAATGATGTTATTACTTACGTGATGTTTGTTATTTTATATTTTTAGTTTCAAGATTTGCGTCTACCAAAATTTATTCGTGTCCTGGGGCTTGTAAAAATTGATTTCACAACAAATTGTGCGAGTTTGAACTATACAGGGCAATCCGTTCAAAATTTCTTGTCTATTGATCATCGTCCGAACATAATCACGATTAAATCAATAACGTACGGCGAGGAACAAAGACTTCGGTTAGATTTTAATCAGTAACCCAGCGAACACATGAGCCAATGACTACTAACGATCGAGCAGCACATGCTTGTTATGTCTCGCGATGGCATTCATACAAAATGGAGCTTATGATATTACTGAGGTTCATTTTGACTTGCTAGTTTTTAGTTAGTTCTGAAGTGTGATTTCTACAAATATCTACTCCTTCAACAACTGGTGCATAGGAGCAGTGCATAACAAGCATTTCACTTTAAACTGACGATCAAGAGTGATGATCAATAATTATACTAGTGTAATTTTACGCGTAGAAGATGGCTTTCGCCTTCAACCTACAACACACCAGATTCATTCGCATTCTTTCCGATAAATTGTGTCATCTTTGCGGGGGAACGATGTATATAATAATTCATTAATAAGAAATAAGATCCTACTGTTGCCTTGTTATATACATAGATTATTGGAATAGGCGTCCTCATAGGAAATGAATTAACATTTTACCACGGATGCGCAGCTCAGCTCTATTGCACAAGGTAACGTACAGCACAAGCATTGTTCTATTCCATGTTGATCATTTTTTCTTGAACGTATTTTTCATACTTATCAAAGGAACTGGTTTTATTTTGAACTCTACTCGTCATAATTGTAATTGCAAAAGCCCGTGACCTCTCAAACAACACGTACTATACTTGTATATAATTTGTCTAGTATTATTTACATAAAAATGTCAATTTTAAGTAATTCTATTGTAGCAACTGTAAGCGAGTAGGATGTGAAAATGTCAAGCAATAAATTTATATTTTAACTGAAAAATGTATGACCCTCTGCTCCCACCCTCAGCCGTCCTAGTTTCTTGGCGTGCCCTCCGAACGAAGTCTTCCCAGGGTTTCCTCGCCTGCTTCCCTCTGCAGCGAGTGAAAGTGGTCTGGCGGCGCCTATATAAGCTGCACTCTGCCTCCAACGCATCACTCGACCCTCACAACTCATCTTGGTAGGACACACACAGAGGACTTCTCCAGACATGAACTCGGTGAGCAGAGCTTTGTCACTTCCAAATTAGTTATCGTTGTGTTTATAAATAATATGTAAATTCTTTTAAAGATTGATGATGATGACGAGAAGGTGGAAAATAGATTTCTAACGAGTGTGAGTTCTCAAACGATGCAAAATAATATCGGTAAAATAATGTACTATTTTTTGCAATGAAAGTTTGTGCGAGTTATAATAATAATTGTAATGTCTGTAAATTTTTCAAGAAACTCCTATGCATTAGTTGATCTTTCAGGAATATCTTCAAGCTTCAAGGTCGTCCTGATAAATCACAGTGATCTAACCGATCTCGACTTTTTTCCGCAGTATTGGGCATAATCAAAGTTCTCAAGTAATAATTAACTTAAACTGCATCAAGTCAAACACTAAGGACAAATACAAAAACAAGAAGTATCAGTTGCTTTCATGAAGCGGAGTTGTAAATGCGGATTATAATTTATAGTATAATGCTTTATTTTTGTTGAAAATAGGTACATTATTTCATGCCTTGTTGTAAAATAGCTAACAATCAAAAGTTAATAGTATAATTGAACATAATTTCTTGGGCAAGTTTGGCGTCCTGGTTTTATTTTTTCTTGGTTGGGCCTTGAGAATCTGCGTAGCGTGACGTATCTGTTCCGGAAATCCGGTGACGCTTCTCCCTCACGCCGCGGCGCAAGTCCTCCATATTTCCTCCGTATTTTCGTAGTGAATATTAAAATCTTTAGTTTTTTTCATCTACCATATTTTTAAACCAATAGATTTTTCTGTTTAATCATAAATTTAATTTCATATATCTCATTTATCCTGTCGTAACTTATTTCGCAAAAATTGCGAAATTTTTCAATTACTTAATTACTGCATTCAATTAAGTTCGGGATAAAAAAAAATCATTTAGAATTTCTGCGCCTTTTTGACCGAGTTATTTATAATTATTTATTAATTGCAGATCATAACTTCTTTTGTTTCTGAAGCAATTAATACGAAGTATCATGTGTGATAATCGTTGAATGTGCACAAGAAATTGGAAGTATTCTCTAATTTCGATACGAAACATAACTATTTTCGGGTAAGGAGTGAGTATTATAATAAAATTTTGTTCAATTTTCTAATTTTAATTCAATCAAAAAGGCCTTCTAACTCTAACTCCAACAGAAAAAATGAAAAATTGCGTCTAATGCCAGCTTACTCGTTTGAAATTAATGTGTGAGAAAAATAATTTTATTGGAATATCAGAGAGAGTTTAAAATTGAAATTATCACAGTAATTTCCTAAACTTTATGACTGAAATAAAGAATAGGAGGGAGAGTTTAGGGCAAAAGTGCATTTAAAACTGGTTCTCTGAGGTCGCATCCGACCAACAATGACATGCTGGCCTTACGCCATCCCGTTGAAGCAACAGGTGCTGTGCAGCACTAAAAGTGTAACCTGTTTTCAGGGTTTCATAGTTTTGTATTATATATATTTTTTTCATAGTATCATCATTAGTGTTAAGGTCATTTCCATCTTTTCTCATAAAAATCTTATTTGTCTAAGGGTTGTCATCATTAATATTTTTAATATAGTTTTTCGTTTATAATTGTTTATAACGTTGTGAGTTTAATCAACGCATTCATTATTTCGGCAAATTCCATATTTTATATTTCCTTGGGCAGATTATTCTCGCAACGCTGCTCGCCGTGGCAGCCGCCGCTCCTCAGAGCTACGGGCCTCCCCCTGCCTTTGGTGGCGGTGGTGGCGGAGGACGCGGCGGTGGTGGTGGTGGTGGTGGAGGACGCGGGTCCATCAGCGGTGGACGAGGCGCCGCTGGCCCCGGATTTAGCGCCGGTGGATTCTCTGGAGTGAATGTTGGCGGTGGTGGTGGTGGTGGCTCCGGAGGTCAGCCCGCTTACTCAGGAGGTTCCGGCGGTGGATTTGGAGGAGGATTCGGTGGAGGCCCGTGAGTTGATATAAATTTGAACATGCTGCTATTTTGATTGCATTATGCGTGGCTGAGTTGATTGTCTTCTGCACGTGTGGTCGATACGACTTTCTTTTCGACTCCTGCCAGTAAGATGAATCTGGAAAAGCCTTTGTTATCTGCAAAATTTAATTTCAATTTAGCTCAAAAATAACCATTCCCTGTATACGAGGTCAATAAAATAGAAAATATGAAATTTTGTCCTCAATTGTGTGATATTTTAACTTGATAAAAATTAATTGGAAATAATCTCCAAAGAATTATTCGTTCGTATATAATGATTTTACTTAAAATTACAGTGCAGAAATTGTTCTCCATTTCTACATGAAATTACAGGTTCAATTTACGGTGACGAAAATATCTCTTTTCATAAACGTTGTGACTGGTAACAACTAACAAGAACTGAGTTATATTACATATGAAGAAACTGTGTCTATGATGAAGTTAATTTAGGCCAAATTTAATGTGAATCTTTGTCATTGTTCTGTACAAAGCATCTCTTCAAAATGAGAAGTAAATAAATCCAGAAATTTATGCTTCAGCAGCAATTTAGCAAACAGGGTCACAGCAATCATATTTTGATGTGGATCGCCTGTACGAAAAAAATTCAGTTATCCATGCAACTCGTTTTTTATGGGGAGAAGAGATAGTTTTCTATTAGAGGATTAGAGGCACAGACTCGCAAAGTTCCAATCACTATAAGAAAATTGAATTATTTTCTCCATTAAAGCCATCAATGTGAAGAGACAATTTTGATTTTCTGGAGAAATTAGGGAGTCTGTTGCCGTTTAGATTGAGTTGGTTGTGAGGGAAACTTTAAATTTTTATTTTATGAGCAAATATGAAACTCGTAATAAAAATACTTGTGTCGGCATTGTAAGCTCTAGAACTTAGTTTGAATATAATCGTTCAAGACGTGAAACGTTTCAGAATGATTATCTATGCTAAAAATTAAGCATATTTTAGATCTGTTTTATGCGAGAATAAGAACAAAATCAGTTTCAATATGCTTAAATTAGACTCTGTTTTCAGATTCAATTTCCTTCAAAAAAAATTTTTCTACGTAGAATTTTCCCTTCTACGTAGAATTTTCACTTTTTAAAGATTATTGTCTATCATAACGACGCTTCAGTGTTCCAGTGATAAGCAAAAATGTGAACTTCATATTGCTTCATTGCAACGCTGCGCCTCTTTGCAGCGTCGTGGCGATCGTGCGTGACGACCGCAACGGTCCCGTGGACGGCGTGTACGACTTCGCGTACGAGAGCGCGGACGGTACGAGTCGTAACGAGCAGGGCGCTCCCTCGGGCCCCAACGGCGCCGTGGTGCAGCAGGGCAGCTGGAGGTGCGTCCTGACTCTTCAGAGCGTTTAACTTTTGATGCAAACAATGTTCAATAAAGTAAATTAACTGTGCGGCAAGCGTATATATATGTTACTTACATTGTAACAAAGAAGATTAAAATATGAATACGTTTGATCCATGCAGCTCTGATTTTATTCATTTTTCAACAAATTTTCCGAAATAATGAAACTCCTTGTTCATGATTGATTGAAAATGATGTATAGAGAATTTTAACAATTGAATTGAACTGAGTTTTCAAGTCCCTACAAGGCCACGGACAAAACTCGAGTTTATGTTGATTTATTTCTTCCCCGTGCAAGATTAAAATTGAAATGATTTGTTTTGTTCGTGAATAAATATCCAGAAATTAATGTTCTGACTGTCTCGCAGCTTCACGTTCCCGGACGGCTCCCCAGGCCAGTTCAGCTTCATCGCTGACGAAGGAGGCTACCGCGTCGAGTCCCCGCTGCTGCCCACCCCTCCCCCCATGCCCGCCCACGCCCTCGAGCAGATTGCCAAGGCTGAGCGCGAGAGAGCTCAGGGCATCGTGCACGACGGGCAGTACGACCCCAGCCTGTATGGCGGCTCAGGCGGCGGTGGACAAGGTGGATTCCGGGGAACAAGCGGAGGACAAGGTGGATTCCGGGGAACAAGCGGAGGACAAGGTGGATCTTTCGGCGGCGCACAGGCCGGCGGATACAGTGGTGGACAAGCTAGTGGAGGCGCTGGTGGATTTGGTGGCGGACAAGGCAGTAGTTTCAGTGGAGGACAATCTAGTGGATTCGGTGGTGGAAGCCAAGGAGGCCAGAGAGGAGGACAAAGAGGAGGTCAGAGTGGTGGCTCTTACGGTTACTAATTCATACGTGACCACCCAAACCAAACCATGAACCGTCCCTCCGTGAATGCGACCACCAGACTACCGCTCATGCATGCTTGCGCGTAATGACTTTAGTATGAACAATTTATTTATGTACACAAACGCTACTTTTTTGCTACTCTATCTTCCATTCCACTTACAAGTAAGAAAGAATTCACAAATATTTTTCTTTAGGTACCTTCATCGTGTGGTGACAGCACCGATACGGAAATAGAATCTTAATGATTCTTCCAGTCTCGCAATTCTCAATTCAATCAGGCAAAAATGCAAGAGACAAAACTCATAATTTCCATGAATTTTTCAATGAAACAATCCACTCAAATATTTTCCTAATTTCTCGAGCCGAACGAATGTTACGAACTTCAGCTTATTATTTATACGAAAATATAGACTCTCACTTTAGTCGCCTGTAAATGCTGCAAGTCTATACTTGCATTACTGTGATAATGCTAGGCGCTGCTGCAAAATCTTGAAAACAGATTGTATTTAAAAAGTTTTGCATTATATCTTGTCAATTATATAAATCTTTTCCTACCCTATGTACCAGTTTCCGCTTCCGATTAAGTTATGCTGAATATTATGTAAATAATTTATTTTGCACGTTAAAAAAATTTATGGAACGAAGCATCAAAATCCAGAATACAAGTTTGCGGATTGAAGATAAGATAGGTTCGTAATTTGAATACTCATTGATTTATCTGGGCTTCTTGTAAAGTCGTAACTTCCAGTCATTGATCGTTGAGAAGTCAGAACCGAACAAGGTTTCCTTAAAGGCAAGTGAGAGGCAACTTATAACGGCTTCTAAATCTCTCAATGAGCTTACATATTCACTGCTTGCGATTGAGAATATCTCATCAGACTGCTGCAGACAAGTAATCTGTTACAATCAAAGCTAAATATCTTCAATATCAAGTGATTCTCCTTATAATTTTCTTTTTATTATTATTTTTTACAATTGGCTTAAATTTTAATTTTATAACATTAACTTACATAAAATATTTCCGAATCAAGCTCATCCGCGGGTCGCGAAATTCGTTACAATTTTTGGCTTTTAATGTTTCTTTAATGTTGTTTCTCTTCCTAGCTCCCACCATATACACATTTTATTAATAGAATAACATAGAGAGACACTCTAGGAATAAATTACTATACTTCCTATTGAAATTGCGTGAATAATTAATACGAAATTGGTCATAAAATTTACAGAAGACATCACTCAAAAACATTTCTCTCTGAGTAAAGTTAAAGATCCAAGTGCCTGATGTTCATTCCTCTTCGAAGCGTGAGCATTAAGAAGTGAAATTCATTACGGTCGTAACGTCTGCAAATTGAAGACTCAATTCAATCAGGATGACAAGTGAGTCTGTGAAGTGCAGCCATTAGCGAACGAAATTAATTTTAATTACAGTTTCACACCGTCAGGTACCCGAACCTTCTCTCTCACAGATGTAAAATGATAACGGATAGGAAACATTGTTTCATAAAACAACATTATATTATATGATAATTACTATCACGTTTGCAATCTATTGCTTCTTGATAACTCCTATGACTTTGCTACTGGTGCAACTACTTTTGACTAAATGAAATTCATGAAATTACGATGAGCAGTTTACAAGCGACGTACATTAATGAACTGAAATAATTCAAATGAAATGACCTGCAAGAGCCCGAATGAATGCTCGCTAACTCTTGCTGCTGCCAGACGCGCCTTTAACGGTGGCGGTTGCTGACAACGCCTGGCCTTCCGCGTCCGCTCGGATGGACAATTACTGTCAGCACTCGTTCCGGTGATAATGTTTGGAAAGAAAATTATAGAGTGAAGAAAAAACGGACTTGAAGATACGGCCGTTAAATAAAAGAGTTCTAACTTGCTATATTGTATACTGGTTCGTAAGGAATGTACGTAGTTGTCTACATTCCTTCCTTAGTCAGGGTTAATTCAAAGTTCATTTCAAGATTTTACACCCAAGATAATGAGAAATAAATATTTCAGCAAAATTTTATTTGCATTCGTAAATATATGACCCAACAAATATAAACACTGACGAGTGAAAATTTTAGACTTAAAAAGACATGCTAGAGGTTTAATGTTGATATTGAAATGTCACACCTTTGTTCCATGATTGACTGAATTGATAATCTTAAAAAAATAATCTAATTTCAGTTTCTACTTTCATTTTTAGCGCATTTTCTCATTTAGGGAAAAAAGTCGCTATTGTGCTCGTCATGTCCGTCCGTCTATTCGTTTGTCCGTATGTCTGTCCGTGACTTTACGGACGGGCGGATGAGGAAAATGCGCTCTCTGTCACTCACTCACTGATCTAATTTTTTCACGATTTTCTCGTGATTTTAGGTATACTAAATTTCATGACTAAGAGGCATTCTTAATAAAGACACCAATGGAATAAATTTTAGAAAGACTGTTGAAATATTTCCAACATTTTTTGGTATACACAACAAAAAATAAGTTAAACTCAAACACTGCATCTCTTAGATTAGCAAAAATTGTTAAATTCTGTACATCGATCTCTGCATTTTTACATTATATTATTATATTACAATACATATTACATTTGGAATAATTAGCAGGGAACCTGATCATTAATGATGAAGCTCATTGATTGTGACAATCAACAATATTGTAAATTGGTCTTCCGTGAATCCATAGGAAATTCATGACCGTCAACTTCATATATACGTCGCTTCATTTGATTAGGAAGCGCCTTAACGATTGATACAGTTCCGTATGACGCCGTCACTTTTATTAAAACCAATGTATTGAGCGATGATCCGGGTATTTTGGCTATATATCGGAGATAATAACGGTAATGAACCATTGGCCATGCACTGAGTCCTATACAAATAGACAGGCATCCTGACTTAATTGACAAATCAACATTTAATTGATTGCAAAGTCACACAAAAAAAAGAAATAAAATCTCGCCAACCACATCTCACCAGAGACGGGCTTGGTAATTGATTTTTACCGACGGATATTAATTGCTTGTATACCTAATTAGGTCTGCACTAATTAGGAACATAAGCTTGCCGTTACTTATTATTAAGGTTTCTCTGCTTACAGAAATTGTAATCTTCAAGCATTTATTACTCACATCCAATACGGTTACGTCAGATATAAGCTTGAATGGACTCAAAGAGGTTATTCCTAGCATAATCTAAGCCAAATACATCAGCCATGATCTCAACTTATTAATCCTGGATTATCCTAGACGCTCTCGGAAACATATTTGAAACACACTGAGCGTAATAATTGTCCCCTTGTAAAAACGCTTTATGAATGTTTCCAAAAATCTTTATAGATATAATGAAATTAATTTTGTCCCGGGCATATTAGGATGGCAATAAGGAATTTACGACTTGGACGACAACGACGAAGAAAATTTATTGCTCATATCCTTTACCTGCGCGGGATGTCCGAGCAGCTTCTACTTCTACTTCTATAGAAGCTTCTACTTCTATACCTTCCCATCATTTCTGGTTTTCTATCTTATTCATCAGAAGCCATTTAGGAGTTTGATTCTTTGAATAATTTGACCAGTAATTCAATTATAAAACACTGAATTTTGTATTTTCCAGATATGTAAAAGCTGAAAAACTTCGCTCCGTACCTTTATTAACAGAACCGACATATAAAACTGATTACTTATTCATTTCTTTTGAACTCATGATGGTAACGATTCTATTTAGTTCGAGCGAATACGTAATAAATAAATGAGATCTCATTAACGGATGGCTCATTCATTTGTTTTGAACTCCTGATGGTATCGATTCTATTTAGTTCGAATGAATACATGATTATTAAATTTTATATTACCTAGCGAATTATATGTTTCAAATCTATTTATGTACTCGTATAAGTCTTAGCAAACTTCGTTCATTTGCTGCGGAGCGATATGTATTAATTATTGAACCTTGAACAATAGAGCGCTCCTTCCGATAGCATCTAAATACATCAAAGGAGCACTGAATATACTCCGGCTTTTAGTGCGAATTAAATTTCAACGAAGAAAATTCTGCTCTATGTGGCACCAAATTGACATCAGTGAAACGCAGAATATGTTGAACGCTCGGTTAATTGTAAAGAAAAAGTGAAGATGCTATTACAGACAGTCTTAAAATTCGTGCGTCGCTCCTGGTGACGAACCAATAGACATTTGACAAGCAGTTCATTTGAGACAAAGATAGGCAAGCCATTTAGCCCGTAGTGTTTCGGCTGAGTCTCCCATCAGTTCAAAACTGTGGACTTGAAAGTTCAGAGAATATTAAATGATGTTATGTTGTAGTTACTGACTGAACGAACTCGAATTTCAGGAGTGTTATTTTCAAATAAAACTGTAGGGACACTATTTATCTCTGTTATCAGTTTTATTAATTTTCTAGAATATTTGTCTTTTTCGCAAACCATCCGAGCTACTTATAGATTAAAATTTTGTTTCTTCGTAGATTCAGTTATCCATAGGATCATAACAGCCTGATCCGCCGATGTTTGGGGTAAGACATTAAATAGCTCCTGTTATATTGATCTAATTTGTAACATTTGCTTATATAATGTACTTCATTTATTCATCTCGATTTGTATTAGGCAATTAGTATTAAAGCCGTTTGTTCATTCTACAGGTGCAACTTCCATACTTTTCAAAATACACTTAAAACACTATCCTCGGCAAATTCGTATTATAATCCCCGTTCTAAGTTCTTGAATTGTAGCGGTTTCGAAACTAACCGATCCGCTATAAAACATTAACCTTCGTTTCGATTGAATTGTACAGGGTGCGCCACAGAAACTTACTTATTTGAAAAAATTCCTGTGCGGTTAGTTGGTCGGGTAGAGGGACGAGAGGGGGTGCATCTGAAGGGGAAACTTCCCAAGTTTGTTTCTCACAGTTTCTCAAATAAATTTGCTGTAGTGCTAGAATAAACTGAACGCGATTTTGTTACCCCTCAAAATGCATGTAAAATGCTGGTTGACAACCTGCCTGAAGACGCGGTCGTTATTTTTCAGTGGCGAGGCTCACTTCCACATTTCCGGCTAGCGATTTTTGTTTTCATTTTGAAATTATAGCATCCCCGTGCTGATAAATTTGAGTCCAGAAACTATTTTATTCCTGACACGTAAACACGCGCAGATCCTCCAGCTCGAAATAAAATCTCTCTTGGCCTTGATGAAATTTTCTGAGATCATTTGATTAACCTCGTCAGGCGAATAACGGTGACTTTAAGAGGCGAAAATTGCATCACGAATCTGCTGGAATTGAGGAGTGACTGGATATGTTTCCGCGAACAAGGTTTTCATTGTTTTTTAAGTGCAACATGATAATGAACTGACGATCAGTGGAAGCATACTTTAATTTCATTTAGTAGTAATAGGATGATAATTTATTTCGGATTCGCAGTTGTAGCAATAACCACTGGTTAGCCTTGGGCGTAAACTAAATATTGAACACTAAGCCTTCAGAGCATTTTAATAGACGTCTTCCGGAATGCACTGTTTCTG